ATTTTTTGTTAATTTAAAGCCTCAAATAGTGTGAATAATGTCGCAGTTAGTTAATTTCCAGTTTTTGACTCTCGTTTTGAAATTTTGACAGTTAATTAATGGTGTGTTGTTTTTTGAAGCTATAACCCGACAACTGTGATACAGCTGTATGTAGGTCTGTAGCATGTTTTGTTAAAATTTTTAATTTTATAGAGTTGGTAGCACTAACCGAATTTAATGAATCGCTTCGAACGGACGTCCCTACGCTAAAATCTCGCGTTTTTTTGTTCACAGGTGCCACATACGGCACTGGCATCACCGCCATTAAATTAACGGCCCTCGGCAGACCTCAACTATTGGTCAGTATGGATTTTTCCTTTTGAGAAAAAAAAAATTAATTGTTAATTATTTTAGCTTCAATTATCGGAAGTAATAATGAAAGCTCGTAAATACATGACGGAAATCGTAGGCGGCGAAGGCAACGTCCTCTCCCATCACATGACCATCCAAGATCTCGAACGTAAACTTTCGAAAATGAAAGATCAAGAATCGGTGAAAAAGTTCCTGTCGCAAATTACAGCTGACGAAAAAGGGTGAGCCCTCATTTCATACTCATCGACCAATCGAAGCACGACATGCGCTTTTCATTGATTGGTTTGTCGTGTTTTAAAGGGCGGTACGGAGGCGTGGTTAGTGAGTATTACATCACCTCTCTCATATCACAATTGTAATACTCGCTAGTCGCTTTGCGTTTCTTTCGTTTTGTTTTTCTTGTTTTCTTTCTTTGTTGGAGTGGCCGTTTTAGAGCAGCGCCATCTATTGTTGACAGTTATTTCAAATAAGACGTTGTTGTTGGTCACAGTATCCTGCATTTGTTCCCGTGGTCGGGCATCATCGACGAAAATCAGGAATTGAGCAGTACTTTCCGGGTACCGGATCTCACAACCGGAAGAATGTCCCGTCTTATTACTCAATTATCACCCAAAGAAGAAGAAATGTTCCGGAATATGATCCGGCGGATGAATACCATTGTTAAGGTAGGATTATACCTATAATTTGACCGCTAGATGGCGTTTTGTAATTTTCTAGACCGCCCAAGATATGGACGTCAGGATTATGGTGGACGCTGAACAAACCTATTTTCAACCGGCCATCACACGTATTACTCTTGAATTCATGCGAAAATATAACAAAGATAAAGCGATTGTTTTCAATACGTATCAGTGTTATTTGAGAAACGCCTTTGATGAAGTCACCACCGATATGGAGCAAGCGAAACGACAAAACTTTTATTTCGGCGCTAAACTCGTGCGAGGGGCTTATCTAGAACAGGTAGGAAATTCAAATTTCCCGCTAAATTTATTTCGAAAATGGCGGCTAAAACTGTAGGTACAATCAGCGTAGAAAAGATTGTTTTCCTAATAAACCATGCGGACCCTTAGAGGCTGAACCCATAAACCACAACAATAAATCTTTTCTATTGTAAACGTCATTTCCTATTCAACAGTATATTTAGTTTGGAGTGAAGCTTACTAAAATAAAAATTAAAAAATAATTATAATTGATGATTAATTAGCTATTTATTTACCAAGATAACAAGTAAATGCCGTTTTAAATGGCAAAATTAAATAAACAATATTATTATTAGAAATACCTAATAAAAACCATCTATTATTAGAAATTAAAATGACCAAATGA